AAAAAAAAAAAAAAAAAAAAAAAAAAAAAAAAAACCTTAAGAAGGACTTTGATAAGAGTATATGTTGACCAAGAAATGAGAGAAAATGTAGGAGACTAAAGTAATAGAGAGAGAAAGGAAAAAAGAAATTTGTCTAAGAATGTCTATAGGAAGTTATAGAGGGTTAAAGCAAGTTGTAGAAGGTCAGAGGAAAGTTGTCGAAGGTCAGGGAAAGGTTGTTACAAGTCAGAGAAAAATGTAAACTGTAAACTGTTATGGTTTCTCATGTCTACAAATAGTAAATTTTAAAATTGGTAATATAAGTTAAAATTTTAACCATACAAAGTTAATTCAGTTTTAAAAGTTCTGTTTATTTCTCAAGTAAATTATGTATACTTGTTTTAAAATGTTCTGTTTCCTGGTATAACCTAAGTTCTGTTACAAGCATGTAGCTAAACAAAATGGTGCAAGTTCCTGCCAGCCACATGGCAAACTAGTCACATGGACCGGTAGCCATTTTGCTAAAGTTGAAAAAAGGAAACTTAAACCGCCATCTTCACTAAAGGTGACCGCATGGAAATTAGAGGTACCATCTTAGAAACAAGTTTTTCAGTTAAGATTTAAAATGTTAATGCTTCTCTATATATTACAGAAAGACATTAAGGGAATTTAATTTTTTTTAAAACCAGTTTTTTAAAATGTTTGTTTTTATTAATGTTTGTACTTAAAGAGCTTCAATTTGGAATGATTTTTAAGCAAAGCCTGACAATGTAAAGTTCTTGTTTTATAAAAGATGCTAATCTATTATAAGATGTTACAGTTTGTGTTTTCAGAAGTTAAGTTTAAGGCGTTGGTGGCACACGCCTTTAAGTTTAGGGTGTTGGTGGCACATGCCTTTGTTCAGGGTGTTGGTGGTACACGCCTTTAAGTTCAGGGTGTTGGTGGCACACGCCTTTAATCCCAGCACTCGGGAGGCAGAGGCAGATGGATCTTTATGAGTTCAAGGCCTGCCTGGTCCGGCAGATCG